TGCAGTTAAAGCCTGAGTAGATCTAATAACCCACTATGATAACATGAACGTAGATAAGTATGTTTATGGAGCAACTTGCAATGTGAACAGACTGACTGATGTTGTAGTGGCCAGGCTTAGGCTTGGTTACAAGTACTTCTGGCAGTTTGGGAGACACACAGATGATGATCAAACTAAATGTAAATTATGTGATCAGGCATAGGTCCACTCTCTTGAACACTATGTGCTTAATTGCCCCACTCATTGGGGAAAATACAGAGACAGACAGTATAATAACCTATGTGACATGTCAAGATATCTTATTAATGAAAATAAGATACCAGATATACTAAGCAAATTTCCTAAATTTGCTTGTAACAGATAAGTGAACTATAGATATGTAGATATAAATCCATATGTAGTCCTGTTAACCCTTTGGGGCCTAGTTCCTAGGCCTTTTGTGTATCCATATGCTCTCGCGCTACCGTCCACAAGATGGGTATGGGGTGCACAATAAACTAGCCACTTCGGTGGCAAAATCTAAAAAATCTAATCTGAGGTTTTATATGAATCCTGACTGAAAACGAGGATTTTTTTTAACAAACTTGAATAATGATGCCTTGTAGTATAAAATATTGGTGTTCTAATATAAAATCAATGTGTGCGTGCGTACTCTCTCTCTCTTATATATATATATATATATATATATATTTATATATATATATATATATATATATATATATATATATATTATATATATATATATATATATATATATTATGTCGTGCCGAATATGTAAAACTGGTCAATTAGTAAGAACTCATTTAAAATTAATCCTTTCTGAAATTTTCTCTTATACGTTTAAAGATATATTTTTTTCATTAACGTTAATGAAAAAATTTTTAATTTTGCACCAAAAGAATCTTAGAAAACTTACCTAACCTTATTATAACAAGAGCAATTTATTTTAGCCTAACCCAACTAAATATATTTTAAATACGTTTACAATAATTTAGTACTAAACAAACACAATCAAATATATTTTTTTCGTTAGGTTCAGAATGATTTTGGCGAAATTATTGCATACACAAATTTTCACTTGTCCTACATGGCAAGATGAGCGTTGCTATTTAAGCCAAGATCGCAAGTTCTGCCTATTCGGCACGACATATATATATATCCTTGGTTAGGCCTCATTTAGACTATGCTCCTCAGTTCTGGTCACCGTATTACAGAATGGATATAAATGCTCTGGAAAACGTACAGAGGAGGATGACAAAGATGATCCCATGTTACCGAAATCTTTCCTATGAGGATAGACTGAGGGCCCTGAATCTGCAGTCTCTCGAAAGGCGTAGAATTAGGGGGAATATGATCGAGGTGCATAAATGGAAAATAAAGGGGATGTAAATAGCGTGCTGAAAATTTCCAGCCAAAACAGGACTCGCAGCAATGGTTTCAAGTTGGAAAAATTCAGATTCAGGAAGGATATAGGAAAGCACTGGTTTGGTAATAGAGTTGTGGATGAGTGGAACAAACTCCCGAGTACAGTTCTTCAGGCTAAAACGTTGTGGAGTTTTAAAAATAAGTTAGATAAATACATGAGTGGGTGTGGGTGGGTGTAAGTTGGACCTGACTAGCTTGTGCTACTGGGTCTGGTGCCTTGCTCCTTCCTTGAGTGGAGGTGACCAGACTGGGTGGGTCATTGGGCTCATCGGGGGGGTCATTGGGCTTATCCGGGGGGGGGGGAACATGGACCTGCTCCGCATGGGTCAGTAGGCCTGTTGCAGTGTTCCTTCTTTCTTATGTTCTTAAATGTTAATTTTTTATTTTTGTGTGTGTAAAGTTTGTCCTAGTTCCTTTTTTTAAATTTTAAACTACGTTACTTTACCTTCAATGGTTCACATCTTACAATTGTTTGTACCATGAGAAAGATTTAAGTTTATACAAGCCTGGATTCTCATTAGCTGAGTATATCCCTTACACTGTCGGTATATTTGCGTATGGTTCTATCGGCCAATAATGGTGGGTTCCTCTTCAATGGCATACTGGTCGTCTGGGGCTTTATCTTTCTTCCTCTTGCGGGAGCAGATTCCAAAGGCAATAGCTGCAGCTGCCTGTGACAAAACATTGCATTTTTTTAAAGTTTAGAAACATTATGAACTTGTAATAGTTTAAGTTTTGACAAATAGTTCTGTGGGAGTGATAGCTGGTTAGTAAGGTAATTATTTGGAGTGCGAGTAAGGAATACCTTGAGAATTAACTGTTATATGAAAGGGTTAAAATCTAAACAAATATAAATTAATATAAAGAAAAAAAACTGCATGTAGGATTGTGAAAGAAGTTCAGCATTAATATAATGATCATCACCAAACTCCGACAGTACCCCAGGTACCTGAGTACCCAGGTACCTGAGTACCCAGGTACCTGAGTACCCAGGTACCTGAGTACCCAGGTACCTGGGGTACCTGGTACCCTGGCAACAATGTATCAGCCTACTTCTTGCTTTAATATTTGCCATCTTTATTTTCCGCCTAGATCTACTGTCATACGCAGAAGGCATTTACCGTTCTTCGTGCCTGCTGTTATTAAGGTGTGAAAAACTCTGGATTTCCATACGAAACCATAACAGAGGAGATACTGTAATATATATATATATTAATATAATATATATATATATATATATAATATATATATATATATATATATATATATATATATATAATATATATATATATATGGAGACTTTTGAAGTGGCCATTTATATCGCCTGGCAGTAAACTCAGATACTGCATTATTACTATCACCAGGCATTCTATTACATATATGACGTCCACCAAGATGCTGCAGTAGATTGGCTATTGTATGTTATTTAAGATATATTGTAAAGGGATGTGAATATAAACCAGTGTATGTCTAAAATAATTTTGAATGTATTGCAACTATTTTATATATGTATAATACTCTAAAACTACATGAAGAAAATTGAATGAAGCTTAACGTCACTCTGGACCCATAGAATAACTAAAGATTTGAGAATGTTCAAAATAAACCGAGACAATTCATGAGCTGGAAAAATTAGTTGAACAACACGGTATGAAGGCCAAACAAAAATGCCTTTATTTCGAAGTTAGTAATTCCAGTGAGCTTAAGAACACTTGGGGAAAAAAATACATCACCGGAGTAGGTGCAGGAACAACTGAACGAAGAAGACTTACCTCAGCGAGAAAGGTGACCCAGGCGAGCATGAAGGAGAAGCCATAACTCCAGGTGGAGCCGGGGGGATGCCTGTTGGGTAAGTGAGCTGCCTCGTAGTGGTACAGAGACACTGCTACTTCTATCACAATGAGAACACAGCCGGCTGGGGAGGAATGTCTGATGCTGTTATCCAACCATTTTCAGGCTTGTTTATTTACAATTAAAAATGTTGCAGGCCAGTAAGTACATTTACAATTAAGTGTTCTGGTCAACTCATTTACAGTGTATCCATGTTTTAAAACATAAAGGGCTTGAAACCAATAGACTTGCCATATTTCTTCGCTTTTGTATGCACTATTAAACTATAATAATTTTTAATTACAGACACATGCAATATCATGCGATCATTTATTGACAACGTTTCGCCCACACAGTGGTCTTTCAGAAGTCACTTGACTTTATAAAGACCACTGTGTGACCAAAACGTCAATATAGATCGCATTATTCTGTATTTGTCTTTTCCATCATGTCGGTATTTTATACCATTTCTCTCTGGCATATTAAATAAAGTTAATCATTGATATAATACTTTAAAAGAATAATGAGGAACAAAGAGAGGGAAAGAAAGCGGGAGAGAGAGAGAGAGAGAGAGAAGGGAAGAGACGATCTTAGGCTGAGTATAAAGGCTAAAAAAAGACGAAATCGCCCTTAGAATTTACCAGCTATGACGTGACTGCAGGCAGCGAGGCGCTTGTACATATATCGTGTGTGATGGAAGGTGTAGAGGGAGAAGCTCAACCCCATGATGGTTATTAAGAGACTGATGATTGAGAAGGATGCCACCGTCCTCTGGTAGTCTGACAAAAACATATAGATTAGCAAGTCAGTTTTCATCCTGTTTTGTATATATATGTATTTTATTTCTAATAGTTTTCGAACTGCTACATAATCACTAGTTCACTCCCACACTTCTGCTCGCTCCTGCACACTTTTAACTCACTCTCATACTCAAAAAACTTACTTCCACACTCATTCCCACACATTAGAGTATACCCACATTCCTATTGTTCATTTATTGCAAAAGGCAAGGTAACGATTCTAAGATAAATTCCTATTTCTGGGATAAGGGATAAAGAATTATTGATTAGAAACCTGTCCTGTGTTGCTACATTTTAAGATACTCTGCTAAGAGACCTTATTCATCTAACACAATTATACGTTGATTTTTTTTAAAAAAGAATAGTAACCCTATATCCTATAAAACCAAGCACCCCTCTACCTCAGTGCAAGTAAAAGAAATAGTACAGAGTGCAGCATAAGTTTTCGGTGCAGTTAAATATCAGCAATGAAGATCTGAGGCTAATAAGGAGAGGTATTCACATGTTATCACATGGAAACTAGTATCCCAATTTCTTCAGTATAAATTGCAAATTTGCACCAACACAGACCAAAACCAATTCGAATTTTTAACTAACTAACAAACACCAGCTTTGAAAGTTTTAAAGCCAATCAGAAGATATATTCTCTTGTTATTGCAGAGAGACCAGTTCCCCAAAACACCATCAATATAAGTTTGAAGCCAATCAGAAGTTGCCCTCTCAAGTTATCGGCGTTGAAGGTTTGAAGCCGGTTGGATTAGACATTCACAAATTGTAAGATGAAAACCAGTATTTCAGTTTTCCCAATTTCATTAAAATTGCGGATTGGTATCAAACCTGATTGTCTCCCATTTCGCCAGGTGCTGCACGACCTCAAAGATTAACCGCTCCCTCAAACTAGAATAATAACAATAACACCAGCGTTTAAAGTCTGTAGTCGATCGTAAGTGGCATGGTCCACTTATTGCATGGGCAATCATTTGCTTATTAAAACTGGCAAATTAAAACCTACACAACGCAAAAGCAGTGCGAATTTTCCTTTGAGGAATGCACACCTGCCCTAAAAGTGTGAAGCTGACCTGAACATGCATTCTTCAGTTATCGCACAGAAACCAACAACCCAAAGTTTATTAACTATGTTCATGAACTGGCAGATTTGCACTTACGCAACCTAAACCCAAAAGACATCATTCTTTTATAAGATACAGCATCCATTAAGTTATTTAAAGAAAAAAATGTTCTAAACATTAAAAAAATTGGCAGTTTAGCAGCTGTACAATATACTCACAGTCCCGGCCTGTTTTCTAAACAGGCTACACCAATGTTGAAAGTTTAACTTTTAACATTAAAGTTAAGTATACATACCTAGAAAAGTTTTATGGAGAGGCTTGACCTTTGGGAAGAGTTTGTGGTAGACACACGGATCTGAAACACGAGTTTGAACCAGAGTGTAATTAATAACAAAATCCAATTCACAGTTCGCTTATCATGACATTAACATTAAAGATGTGAAAAATAGATGAACATAAAATCACTCCCTAAGAAAGCAAAAGACTCGGCAGACGATGCAACATCCCCCAATGAAAAGCAGGGGTGCCACTAGTACGTTAAGAGACAACACAATAAGTGTCAGGGGCCCCCAGCATACATAAGGGGGATTACCAATAGACCCCTGGCTGTCTTCAAACAGGCACCGGACAAGCACCTAAAGTTGGTATCTGACCAGCCGGGCTGTGGTTCGTACGTCGGCCAGCAGTAACAGTCTTGTTGATCAGGCCCTGATCCACCATGAGACCTGGTCACAGACCGGGCCGCGGGGGCGTTGACCCCCCGGAACTCTCTCCAGGTAAACTCCAGGTAAACAAAATAAAGGGTATATTCTATATATAATTCCTGGTATATATAACATATATATATATTATATATATATATATATATATATATATATATATATATATATATATATATATATATATATATATATATATATTATATATATATATATATTTGTGTGTGTGTGTGTGTGTTGTGTGTGTGTGTGTGTTGTGTATGTTAGTTACCATTTTTCCTAGGCAACATGCCGATTCGACACTAGGCCTGTTGTATATGATGTGTGTGTGTACTCACCTAGTTGTACTCACCTAGTTGAGGTTCGGGGATCGAGTCCGAGCTCCTGGCCCCGCCTCTTCACTGATCGCTACTAGGTCACTCTCCCTGAGCCGTGAGCTTTATCATACCTCTGCTTAAAGCTATGTATGGATCCTGCCTCCACTACATCGCTTCCCAAACTATTCCACTTACTGACTACTCTGTGGCTGAAGAAATACTTCCTAACATCCCTGTAAATTCATCTGTGTCTTCAGCTTCCAACTGTGTCCCCTTGTTACTGTGTCAATCTCGGGAACATCCTGTCTTTGTCCACCTTGTCAATTCCTCTCATATTTTGTATGTCGTTATCATGTCCCCCCTATCTCTCCTGTCCTCCAGTGTCGTCAGGTTGTTTTTCCCTTAACCTCTCCTCGTAGGACATACCTCTTAGCTCTGGGACTAGTCTTGTTGCAAACCTTTGCACTTTCTCTAGTTTCTTCCACGTGCTTGGCTAGGTGGGGGTTTCCAAACTGGTGCCGCATACTCCAATATGGGCCTAACATACACGGTGTACAAGGTCCTGAATGATTCCTTATTAAGATGTCGGAATGCTGTTCTGAGGTTTGCTGGGCGCCCATATGCGCAGCATTATTTGGTTGATGTGCGCTTCAGGAGATGTGCCTGTGTTATACTCACCCCAAGATTTTTTTTCCTTGAGTGAGGTTTGTAGTCCCCTGACCCCCTAGACTGTACTCCGTCTGCGGGCCCTTTTTGCCCTTCCCCAAACTTCATGACTTTGCACTTGGTGGGATTGAACTCCAGGAGCCAATTGCTGGACCCGGGCTGCAGCCTGTCCGGATTCCCTTTTTTAGTTCTGCCTGGTCTTCGATCGAGTGAATTCTTCTCATCAACTTCACGTCATCTGCAAACAGGGACACCTCAGAGTCTATTCCTTCCGTCATGTCGTTCACAAATACCAGAAACACACTGGTCCTAGGACTGACCCCTGCAGGACCCCGCTGGTCACAGGTGCCCACTCTGAAACCCCGCCCCCGTACCATGACTCGCTGCTGTCTTCCTGACAAGTATTCCCTGATCCATTGTAGTGCCTTCCCTGTTATCCCTGCTTGGCCCTCCAGTTTTTGCACCAATCTCTTGTGTGGAACTGTGTCAAACGCCTTCTTGCAGTCCCAAAAAAAAATTGCAATCCACCCACCCCTCTCTCTCTTGTCTTACTGCTGTCACCATGTCATAGAACTCCAGTAGGTTTGTGACACAGGATTTCCCGTCCCTAAAACCATGTTGGCTGCTGTTGATGAGATCATTCCTTTCTAGGTTTTTCCACCACTCTTCTCCTGATAATTTTTCTCCATGATTTTGCATACTATACATGTCAGTGAAACTGGTCTGTAGTTTAATGCTTCATGTCTGTCTCCTTTTTTAAAGATTGGGACTACATTTGCTGTCTTCCATGCCTCAGGCAATCTCCCTGTTTCGATAGATGTATTGAATATTGTTGTTAGGGGAAAACATAGCGCCTCTGCTCCCTCTCTCAAATACCCATGGGAGATGTTATCTGGCCCCTTGCCTTTGAGGTATCTAGCTCACTCAGAAGCCTCTTCACTTCTTCCTCGGTTTGTGGCACTGTGTCCAGCACTTGGGGGTGTTGCCCCACCTCTCCGTCTTTCTGGAGTCCTTCTGTCCTCCTCTGTGAACACTTCTTGAATCTCTTGTTGAGTTCTTCACATACTTCACGGTCATTTCTTGTTGTCTCTCCTCCTTCCTTCCTTAGCCTGATTACCTGGTCCTTGACTGTTGTTTTCCTCCTGATGTGGCTGTACAACAGTTTCGGGTCAGATTTGGCTTTCGCTGCTATGTCATTTTCATATTGTCTTTGGGCCTCCTTCTTATCTGTGCATATTCGTTTCTGGCTCTACGACTGTTCTCCTTATTTTCTCCTGGGTCCTTTGCCTTCTATATTTCTTCCATTCCCTAGCCACTTGGTTTTTGCCTCCCGCACCTTTGGGTAAACCATGGGCTCATCCCGGCTTTTTCATTAATCCTGTTACCCTGGGTACAAACCTCTCCTCAGCCTCCTTGCATTTTGTTGCTACATATTCCAAACATCTCATTAACTGGCTTTCCCCGCCCAGTTCTCTGTCCCACTGAACCCCGTTCAGGTAGTTCCCCCATTCCTGTGTAGTCCCCTTTCTTGTAGTTTGCTTCATTCGTCCTGGCCTTCCTGCTTCTCCCTCCACTTGTAGCTCTACTGTGTATTCGAAGCTTAAAACCACATGGTCACTGGCCCCAAGGGGTCTTTCATATGTGATGTCCTCGATATCTGCACTACTGAAGGTGAATACTAAGTCCAGCCTTGCTGGTTCATCCTCTCCTCTCTCTCTTGTAGTGTCCCTTACGTGTTGGCACATGAAGTTTTCCAGTACCACCTCCATCATCTTAGCCCTCCATGTATCTTGGCCCCCATGTGGGTCCAAGTTCTCCCAATCGATCTCCTTGTGGTTAAAGTCACCCATGATCAGGAGCTTTGCCCTGCATGCATGAGCTCTTCTGGCCAATCTAGCCATGTGTCAACCATCGCTCTATTGCTCTCGTCGTACTCTTGCCTTGGCCTCCTGCTGTTCTGTGGTGGGTTATACATCACTGCTATTACCACCTTGGGACCTCCAGAGTGAAGTGTTCCCACTATGTAATCACTTTCTTCTCCGCTGTCTCCTCTCTCCAGCTCATCAAAATTCCAGCGATTTTTGATCAGCAACGCCACTCCTCCACCCCCCCTGTTCCCTCTGTCTTTCCTCAGGATTTGGTATCCCGTTGGAAAGATGGCATCTGTTATCATACCTGTAAGCTTGGTTTCTGTGAGAGCTATGATGTCCGGTGATGCTTCTTTGACTCTTTTCATGCCACTCCTCCACTTATTTGTTATTCCATCAGCGTTTGTGTACCATACCTTCAGTTTCCTTTCCAACACTGTGGTTTGGGGGGCCTGTGAGGGTGGGAGACCTGGTGGCATACTGTGGGATTCTATAGCTCGGTGTTGGGTGGAGGCTGTGGGTATGGATTGTAGTGTGTGTTGGGATGGTGTGATAGGTTGTATGGTTCTGAGAGTAGTTGTGTGTGTGCTTGCCCTTGCTGTTCTGTTCTGCTCTGACTGACCTCTGCTGGTTCCCTCCTTGTCTCTTTTCCTGTGTGTGTGTGTGTGTGTGTGTGTGTGTGTGTGTGTGTGTGTGTGTGTGTGTGTGTGTGTGTGTGTGTGTGTGTGTGTGTGTGTGTGTGTGTGTGTGTATGTGTAGTGTGTGTGGTGATGTGTGTGTGTGTGTGTATGTGTATGTGTGTGTATGTGTGTGTATGTGTATGTGTGTGTGTGTATGTGTGTGTATGTGTGTGTACATGTGTGTGTGTGTGTGTGTGTGTGTACTCACCTAGTTGTACTCACCTAGTTGAGGTTGCAGGGGTCGAGTCCAAGCTCCTGGCCCCGCCTCTTCACTGGTCGCTACTAGGTCACTCTCCCTGAACCATGAGCTTTATCGTACCTCTGCTTAAAGCTATGTATGGATCCTGACTCCACTACATCGCTTCCCAAACTATTCCACTTCCTGACTACTCTGTGGCTGAAGAAATACTTCCTAACATCCCTTTGATTCATCTGTGTCTTCAACTTCCAACTGTGTCCCCTTGTTACTGTGTCCAGTCTCTGGAACATCCTGTCTTTGTCCACCTTGTCAATTCCTCTCAGTATTTTGTAAGTCGTTATCATGTCCCCCTTATCTCTCCTGTCCTCCAGTGTCGTCAGGTTGAAATCCTCATAGGACATACCTCTTAGCTCTGGGACTAGTCTTGTTGCAAACCTTTGCACTTTCTCTAGTTTCTTTACATGCTTGGCTAGGTGTGGGTTCCAAACTGGTGCCGCATACTCCAATATGGGCCTAACGTACACGGTGTATAGGGTCCTGAACGTGTGTGTGTGTGTGTGTGTGTGTGTGTGTGTGTGTGTGTGGTGTGTGTGTGTGTGTGTGTGTGTGTGTGTGTGTGTGTACTCGTACCGGTCAAAATCTCAACAAAACAAAGAATATAGAAGTTTAACAACAAATTCATTAGCATCATGCCTCTGAACTTAGTTAATACCGCGATAAACTAAGAATATGATAATACGCTGAGTTAATGAGGCGACCACTACAATTAGGTGAGGAAGGATAGCAGGTTAAGGTGGTGGTGTCACCTGGTGCGAGGCTGTGCAACACGTACTACCACCTGCCTACCTGAAATAACCCGAGAAGAACACCTGAGCTGGGCGGTAGAGGTGGCATGTGACCAACACT